CCAGGTACCAGCGTCGGAGCGAGCATTTGGCACAGCGACCGTCGAGACAGCATAGCAGAGGGCACACATTCGTGTCCCAGACGACGATCGCTATGGGGCCCGGTCGCTGCTTCAAAAACTTGGACGTGTGCTTTTTGCAGGCGCACGGAACGTGGAACTTGAACTTGCAACCCGGCGCCCACTGGTCCTGAGGCGGAAGCTCGATGCGAAGCTTTGCCAAGTGCGGCGTGGCGGGATCCTCGTACTCGATGGCCCTGCAAGGCCGCACGCGGCCGAGGTAGATGAGGTGCTCTGCCGCAGGCGCGACTGTCGCCCCAGGCGCGACCAGTACCCAGGCGGCACGACATTCGTCATGTCCAACACCTCAAAGCTCGAGGCGAGCACAAACGCCGTGCAAAAATCGGCGCTGCTACAAATCTTCGATTACAATCGGCCGCACTCGTCAGGCCTGCGTCTTTTCGGAGAGAGAGAGAGAGAGAGAGAGAGAGAGAGAGAGAGAGAGAGAGAGAGAGAGAGAGAACCGCCAATGGCCGTTATCCGTTAGTGCGGACGTCGCCGCGGCTCGGCTCTGCCGCGGCGGCTGCTGCGCGCACGCGGCGGCGCCGCTCTCTCGCGAGACGGCTGGCGACGCGGCTCGCCGCCGACGTACGCTGAGCTCGTCCGACGGTCCGCAGCGTGGCGTGCGCGGCGCTGCGCGCCGCTCTGCGAGCGCTTTTGCGCCTGCACTGCCTGTCTCTGTTGCTGCTGCTGGTGTTGGTGGTGCTGCTGCTGGTGCAGATGCTGCTGCTGGCGCGGCGCGGCTCTGCGACTGGGCTCGACGCGCGCGTCGCGAGCGTCTGACGCGGCGGGCGGCGTCGGGCAGGTGCGCTTCTCTCTATGGTGGTGGTGGTGCTGCTGCTGCTGCTGGTGGTGCAGATGCTGCTGCTGGTGCGGAGCGGCTCTCCGACTCGACTCGGTGCGCGCGTCGCGGGCATCTGACGCGGCGGGCGGCGTCGTGGGCTGCAGCGGTGGCGGCTCGATGGTGGAGGTGGTCTGGAGGCTGGTGGCTGGAGGCTGTGGTGGACACCTTTGACTAACTCTCACCCGCCGCCGCTCCGACGGTGAAGCGGCGGGGATCGCCAGCGGATCGACGACTAGTTCGTGCTCGGACTGCCTCGCAGTCAACCCGTCGTGCGACAGGCTGTCTAAGCCTGGCGCCGACCCGGTGTTTTGACACCCAAACACTCTACCTTAAGCTCCTGAGGGGCGCGTGGTTGTAACCACGTAGTAGGACTACAGCCCACCACAGACACCCTCCCCACTCATCACGTGTGTTCACACCCTCACCCTCTCCTCTCTCCTCTCTCTCTCTCTCTCTCTCTCTCCTCTCTCCTCTTGTCTGTGCTGTCTGCCTGACTCAGGCACTCAATCTGCCGATGCGTGATTGTGTGTGGGCTGCTCCGAGGGGGCCCTCTGTGCGATCCGACGGGTAGGGGGGCTGTGCCCGGGCGGTGTCCGGTGTGGAGTCCCCTTCTGATCCCGCCTGAGATGTTGGGTGCGAGGTCGTGGAAGCTTTGATCCCAAGGGCGCTGGCTCGCAGCGGCACGGATGGGCAGAAGGAGGCGGCCGCAGGGGCGCTTAGGAACCTCGCTTGCAACGACGACAACCAGGTGGCGATTGCGGAGGCGGGCGGCATCGCACCGCTGGTGGCGCTAGCTCGCGGCGGCACGGACGGGCAGAAGAAGGCGGCCGTGGGAGCGCTGTGGAACCTCGCTTCCAACGACGACAACGAGGTGGCGATTGCGGAGGCGGGCGGCATCGCGCCGCTGGCGGGGGAAACGGAGCTAATGGAGCTCTACTCGGAGCTAATGAACACATCACACGCACACGCACGCGTACTCGCCACGCATACCCAAGCCTAACACTACCGACGGCGGGGGCGGGGCGCGGGGGGGGGGGGGGGGGGGAAGAATCTGTCCCGTGATAGTTAGATTTGCCAACTGGGGTAAAGAATACCTGCTCTGCCTAGGTATAAAGAAAGAAACTTGCAAGAAAACGCTCAAGAATAAAGAAGAAACCATGAGACACGTTGTTGTTCGCTGGTGGCTGGTGGGCGGTCTCGCGGCCGCCCGTACAGGAGGAGAGCGAGCCGCTGCGCCTGTGAAACAAATCTTTAGCGCCTTGCGTTTTTGGATTGTGCCGCGGCGTGCAGAAGAGAGTATTCGCGGTCAGCAGCACCGCATCATACACACGCACATACCGTGTGTGTACAAACACACGCCCTTCCCCGACCCCGCCCCCGGCAGCGAAGCCCGCGCCGCGCGCGGCACCACCACCACCGACTCTACCTCCGACCCCAGGGCCTAGGCGGCCCGCCATGAAATCTAGCCGTGTGTGCTGGCGTCCGGGTCCCAGCGGGCCTACATACAGAGAGAGAGAATTCTTGATACGAAACCACGACGACACACACCAGTCGACTCGCATCGGTTGCCTCCATGAACGGCGGAGCTATTCTCGCGCCCACACCACACCTGGCTCCAACGTGGACACGCCCATAGCTGGGGACACTACTAGGTCACGCATGGCATCACAGAAGTTTTATCTCTGGGCCCCGAAAGGCATCTCTAGCAGTGTCGTTACACATGCCCCCTCCCCTCCTGGGCGCATGCGCCTCACGTCTCGCCAGAGCATAAGCCCTTGGCGTGTGGCGAGACGAGTTTTTCGCCATCGCCGCGAGCAGCAAGCCGCCCGCCGCAAACAGCCGGAGGCCTCGCCGCGGCACTGGCTGCGCCGCGGTCCCGCACCCGTCGACGCAGCTCCCCCCGCGGAAGACCGCGCGTAGCGACGTCTTGACGATCGAGATGAGCGTGCCTGAAGCTCGCCCACCTACTGCCCCTGAGAGTTGGTTATTGAGTGGGATCAGCTCCCCCACCAGCGGCGCGATGCCGTGCGCCTCCGCAATCGCCACCTCGTTGTCGTCGTTGTCGCATGCGAGGTTCAACAGCGCTCCCGCGGCCGCCTCCTTCTGCCCATCCGTGCCGTCGCGAGCCAGCGCCACCAGCGGCGCGATGCCGCCCGCCCTCGCGATCGCCACCTTGTTGTTATCGGAGTTGCAAGCGAAGCTCCTCAGCGCCTTCGCGGCCTCTTCCTTCTGCCCGTCCGTGCCGCTGCGCAGCTGCTCACTGGCATTGAGGATCGTTTGCATAGCTTTGGCCGCAGCCATGCCCTCCCGAGCCGCCTCCTCAGCAGTCTTGCCCAGGCTGCGCGATGTGGCGGCCGCCGAGATCTCTTCGCACCGCTGCAGCTGCTCCCGCATCGCCCGCCGCAGCGCCTCGTCGCTGCGCACGTCGACCGCGTCGAGGTCGCAGCACAGCTGCGTGCAAGCCTGTTCATTACCCCTCAATCAATTAATTATTCATTAATTAAGCTCGAGGTCGCAGCACCGCTGCGTGCAAGCCTCCCGCACAGCCACAGGATCAAGCGACGCCGCCCGCGCCTGCAGCGCGGTCAGCTGGTCGGCGACGCGCTGAGTCGCCTCGAGCGCGGCCGCATGCGCGCCCGACGACGAATCCTCCTTCCCCTTCCTCCTCCTCCTGATCCTGATCCTGTTCCTCCTCTGCTCCTTTGCACCCACAATGGTCTCTTCGTCACTCGCTTTGGCCTCCTCCTTTTTGTACGCTTCTCCACTCGCTTTGTCTTTGTCTGTAATACTCACAGCAAAGTTGCGGCCGGCCGCGACGATACCACTCATTAACTTGCAAACGAACATCAGTCCTTTAGCGAGCCCGCCAGAGCAGAAAGCAAGCAGGCTGAACGCAAACTTGAAGCCCAACATGATCTCAAATTGCTGTTCCTTGATCACGAAGCGGGTCCACGATTCGAGCCCGACGAGCGCACCACGAATGTAAATTACAACCTTGCCTTGTTCTTTTCTGCCAAATCCGCAGTCGGACATGATTTGCGTGACTGCAAATTCGAAAGGCTGCTGCAGTATCGGTTTTACCATGTACTCCCAAAACTTCTCGTGAACCTCGTCAGCGCGCGATTTGGCAGACGCACATTGGACCACCATCCACCAACTATAACATACTTCGTCTTCGCGGCTGCCAGCACCCCCGTAAATCAAGTAGTTGGC